TATATATACTTTTTGGTTGTCTCTTTGCCACAGGCATTTGTGCACACTGCAAGCTATTCTGAACAGTTTCAAAAGGGAGTCTTTCCCTTAAGAATCACTAGGAACAAACACATGGTGAAATGTATCAAAACTGGGGCAGACAGAACCTGGAGCAGTTTCCCACGGCAACCAATCAGCTTCTCTCTTCAGTTTGTTCAGTTAAGCTTTGAAAATGAAAGAGAGAAGCTGATTGGTTGCCATGGGCAAGTGCTCCAGGTTTGACAAATTCCCCAAACAGTGTTTACCGGTTTCAGGACTACCATACTTATATAAATGGCACTGTCCTGAAGCGGTTATACCAAGATCACGGCTGCTTTAGAGAGCAATAATTCTAGGGCCATCAATCACTAAATTTGTGAGCGGTAAAAGTTTTTAAAGCATCGCCTTTGGATAATTTGGGTTACTGTAGTTTTTTTGTCATTTCATAGGTATACGCAATTGTAAGGCTTGACGTGTCTGGTATCTATTTATCCGACACAGCCCCATCTTTTGTATTTGACCAAGAAAAGGCTATTCTATTGTGCTTCTGTACACTACATTTCTTTTTAGTGTATTTTATCCTAAAATATTGGTGTGATAAACATTTGCACAAATTTAGTTTGACATAAAAATTGCGACTGCTGCAGGGCCTCTGATTTCAAAAAATATATAATTGTTTGGGGGTTTAGAGCTGTTTTCTAGCCCAAAATGTTGATTTGTTTTATCGTGTGTGCAAATATTAAGAAATTGCTCCAGGCAGGAACTTTTTAACTCATGAAATTTGGCAGCACATACAGATAGGGTAATATATGTTAAGCTGCCCAGCCTCCTTGCATTTCAGAGGAAAATTCAGTTTAGCTAAAACTAGTAAGAAAGCAGCAATTTGTATTTATTTATTTGTAGTTATGCTATATGAATGGGAACAAATATAATATAGGGGTTATGCCAATTTGACTGCAAAAATAGAAATACACGTTAAAGGGGTATCTATACAATTATTTTTGAAACACCCTCAGTTCCCTGACACAATCTTGGCTGTGCAGCCTTCTTGGAACAGCACAGCTCCTAGTCGCCAGATCTACACATGTGTGCTGTAATTGCCATTCAACTTTTATAGAGAGTTTGTACTCTGCCAGATTATGGCGTGTGAATTCTCCATGGAACTGAATTGTGATTGCGATAGTCCTGCTCGGGTACTGCGGAAAAGATGCCGACAAGCAGATGTGTATTGTCCACAAGGCTGCTATCTCACTAAATTAGGAACAAGTGAGTAGAAGACCGGAAGGGGAGGGGTTTAAAGTGCTTTTACACTTGAAGCATACTGGGGTAAGTTACAACTCCTCTGGTCAACTTGCTGCATCAGTTTGACTGTCATTTATCTTAAAGCGACCTTGGAGGCTGAAAAAGAGGATTTTTCTTTTTATAAGATGTTTTGAGAGCATGTGAAATTCCCACAAATTTTGTGCAGAGGCCAGAATTGCAATCCAGCTGTATTGCAAAATACAGCTGTGCACTGCCACTATTCTCATAGCGCTTATTTGTAAAATCCAGTCAGATCCAAACTCTACAACTAAGCCTGATTGGGTGAAACGCGTTAGCGGTGAGTGACTAGCAGTTAAGTTTTGAGCTGACAGGATTTTACAAATAAACAAGCACTGGATGAAGATTGGGAGTGTGCAGCTGTTTTTGAATTGCATTTGCTGTGGAGTATGGACAGCACCTGCAACGAACCCAAGAAGTGGAATTGTGATGTGGAAGGAGTGGTGGAGGTCTCTCTCTCTCTCTATTTGAATACAGCAGCCAGAGTTGCCCACATTTTGATAAAGAAGAATTGTCCTAGGAAAATAAGAATTTTTAGTACATTGCGCCAGCACCGCAGGATTTCCCCCAAACAGTGTAGAAGAGACCTAAGCACTGTAAAAAGGAAATTGTATATTACCATGAATACCTACAAATTTTGTAAAGGGACATTTGATGGGAAAATGTTATGTAAAAAGGACATTGGTAATGGCCACTGTTATATCTGAATCCAGCTTTGATACTACAGAAATAGTACAGAAATAATTTAGAGTTATACAATAATTTTACTTGGAATTTACAAGATTTCGGGGGTTTCCTTAGAGACCTAGACAAGACAAAAAATAAAGGCCTTCAAAGGAGTGACTCTCAAAACGTTGTCACTCCTTTGAATGTACTCTGTTGCTGCACAGCACTGTGTAGTTGGTGATCTCTGTATAGTTGATGGAACAACATAGAATGCTGCACTGACAAGTCTTATGTCTGTCCAAAAGTAGCAAATCCTTTAAAGTCTAGATCATTGGTTCTCAACCTTAGTGAGACCAAGGCTCGGTAAATTGGTAAATTGTTCCTAACCATGTCCCAACAGTAGAAAATAAAAATTATACTCTTACAGTGAAAGTATGGGGATGAATGTATTAAAAAGGTAGTGACCATTGTAAAATATGAGTTACTGTAATTTAAATAGACACAATGACAAACATTTACATTTATTTACATCTATTCAAAACTACTTTATTTTTTCCCATTCTCTCTCTCTCTCCTCTCTCTCTCTCCTCTCTCTCTCTCTCTCTCTCTCTCTCTCTCCTCTGTTGGTCTGTCCATCTGCACATTTGTTGTTACACGCAGGCAATAGGTTTGCACGAAGTGGTGCATTAGAACAGAATGTTGTTTTAAGATTCATGAAAATTCCAAATAGACATATACTGTAGTGATGACGTTTAAGCCTTGAGCTATGCATGTATTTTGTTGGACAGCCAGCAGAGGGCAATGTTGCAACGTAGGAAAGGCAATCATTTTGGAACACTTATTTCAGCTCTGCACCACTGGTGGTCAACTTGAAAATTATAGAGGACCTCACACATGGCCCACTACACTTCTAGAGTGCCGCACAATGGCAGTATGCTTTCATGTGTTGAAGTGCATTGCATTGAGTTAGGAAGCTCAATGCACCTTAACCCATAAATTTTGGTCCTGCTGAATTTTTTGCAGTGCACTACAATGCACATGGAAGAAAATACAGGAGTAAAACAAGATTAATCAGTTGGGGTCAGTGGCAATGTAACTTAACCCCCCCCCCTCGCCCCACAGCCACTAACCCCAATGGGTGGTTAGTAGCCATGTTTTTAACAACCCACCTCCCTTGCGTTGGTGGTCAATAGCTGTAAAATGTACCTGTCTTTAAAGCATGCTGGCTCTACAGAGCCATGTCTTTCACTTAATTGAGACCCTGTCGCCATACTATTCATTCCAACAAAGATTCCTATATTATATGTGCATTAAACCTATTTTAGGCATGTTGTCTAAATGTAAAAGGCTTGCTTGTGTAGACACCCAAAAGCCCTGCGACTGCTGCTGGCCGTCGCCATCTTAACTGTGATGTCAGTAACCCCAGACTCCGAGCTGTCACTGTCACTCTATAGTAGCCCCCTTTGCTCCTTCACCACCAGCTACATATTGTGTAGGGAGGTGAGGGAAGAGATGGATATTCTAGGTCAGCACAGGCAGTAATTATCCACCCCCAAAAGAGCAAGTGGGCTGTGCTGTGAAATTGACTAGTCAAGTTTTCTAGCATGTTCAAAGGCACAAGTAAAAAAAAAACTATTTATGGAAAAGAAAAACACTGCAAAAAACTATTTAAAATTGGATTCATCTGTGCTTTTACCTGCAACATAACTAAGTTGGTAATAGGGTTGCTGTAAAGAAGTGAAGAGATGTACAAGGACAGTAATTAAACTAGTGTTAAAATCTTAGTGGCACTGTACCACTGAGGTGTGCAGCTACATGTGCACCCAGATAAATAGTCATGTATACTCCTGCTGGATTTTTCAATGGGTGCATTTGGTTACACTTACCAATCTGACTGGCTGTGGAATATGGTAGAAAGGCAAGGTGAAAGTTGTGAGTGGCTGTTGTGTAAAAAATGACAAGATCTGATAAAGGTTTCAAAAATGTTAAACTTCATTTGTTTTGGTGTGTGCTCTGTGTAATGTGCAGGGTTAAGAAAAATAGGGTTAATGTGATAGTGTCAAGCTATATGTTACAATTGGTTGTAGAGTATATGCTTCTTCTGTTTGGTTATATAGGGTATGAAATGATTCTTCTTCATCACTTGTTACAGGTGGAGGAAGGCTATATGCCCGCTGGCAGCCACTTCGTGGTTGTAGTACTCCCACTCCATCTGCAGCACAGTTTACATGTGAAGGTCGTACTTTAACTGGGGTGGACATAGAGCTGGTGGGCTCTGGATATAGGATGTCGCTGGTCAAGAAAAGGTTTGCAGCAGGTAACAATACCATAATACTTTATACATTTTTCTATTAAAGTATATCTCAACCTAAAAACTAAAGTGTAATATATATTTCAGCTCACTAGTCCTTAAAATGTGATGGCTGTATTGGTTGTCTTTTCATTCATCTGGTGATCCAGCCAGCAGCACACTTCCTGTCCTTAGGGCACTTACTGTATCTGTGGAGAAGTAATGTGTCACTCTAGGCTCTTCTACGGACTACAGATAGCTTCTCTTCTCATATCCATTGCATAGGGAGAGGGGTTTTGTAATTCACAGAAGATTAGCTGGAAAGGCTGCTAAAATTGTTTGACATTTTGTGCACAGGTAGTGACAAGCTCTCTGGATTGCTAGCAGGATAAACAGGAATTTATCTGTGTTTGCAGAAAATGTTCTTATACTGAGCAAAGGAAACTAATGCAGCCACTACATCTTAGGCCTCATTCACACAGACTTTTTAGGGCCAACAGCAGATCCATGGGGCTGGAATCAGAGGTGGTTGCAAGCAGCTGCTGCCACTCAGGCTGTACAAAGCAGTGGTAGACTGAGAAGGTCCTGCAAGTGTCCACTGCTTTTCGCCTGTATCCAGACATCCAGTGGTCACCTGCGGCTAGGGACAGGTGACCGACCCTGGACACAACCTGTCTGCTTCCAGGACCAGTCATGTGTGAAGTTTGTCAAAGGTGGATGGTGTTGGCCACAGACAGAGACCCCTGCTGACACAATGACATCAGCCTTGCCTGTAAATAAAGCGACAGTGGCAGTGAGGTGACTGGTCACCTCACTGTCCGTAATTCAATATGATTTGAATCCAATGAATAAACATGACAGCTAGACAACTATAATTTTAAGAAGAGGTCAGCAGTGGTACCGTCCATATTTCTTTGACAGGTTTCCTGTAAACACACCACGTTGCCAGACAATTTCAACAAAAATCTGGCCATTAGATCATATCTGATTTTACATTGTAGCTACCTGTAAAAACCTCCCTGAAGACATTCAAAAGGTGTGAAGCTGCTGCTGGACCCTCCATCTTGGATGTGATGCCAGTAGCTGCAGCAGATTCAGAGTTGTTACTCAAGGGACACTGATTAGTTTTCCCTTTTTAATCCCCAACTGGCATCTACATAAAAGTTTATGTACGGAGGGACAATTGACCTTGGCTAGCACAGACAGTTATTAGATAGACGAAGAAGAGAACAGGGCTATGACACGGCTAGGGAATTAGTCACCTTTTCTTGCAAGTTTTTAAAGGCACATTGCAAGTGATTTTGATAACAATGCACCCAGAATCTCTAATCTGCATCTACCGCCTAAGCACTGTAAAAGCTTTGGGTGCATTGGTGGGGCACTACCTTGTGGGTTCTGACTGAAACATTGTTTCCATTTTCCTATATGTTGCTTTGTTATCTTCTTCTAGGTAAATACCTTGTTTGCTGAGAACAGGTGTCCATACTTTGCACCACTTCTTTTGTGTTGCTCTCTACTTACTCCCTGGCACCAGGGCCACGTCAAGGAGCAGCCTGGACCTTGAACTCCAGAGGCTGGAAGTACATCTTCATTCAGAAGTGCCTCCCGTGCTCAGTAATGACATCGAGGAGTGATGCAGAAGGTTTACTTTTTCTCTACAAAGGTGATCTGGATTACAAGCACTTTAAACATTTTAAGAAGATTGCTAGTCAGCATTTTTCAGACTAATACAGCACTGGTATCCTCCATCGTGCCCATACAATTGTAAAATGACTGGAGACTTCAGGGCATGTCTGTTTTTTAAAGTTTATTATATCTGTCTAGTTTTGTAGTTGGACCAAGTTTTGAGATTGTTTGCAACTAAAGAGGAGGAAGTGCGTCTGTTTACATTCAGGAGTTTCCTCTATTAGCCAGTTATAAAATACAAACTGAGAACTCTCGCATTTTAGAGCTTACCTTTCGTGTATGTAAGAATGCAAGTGGCTGTATAGAAGGTGTTTGTATAGAACCAGTTCAGTGTACATGCACATTGTACATATTTTTGCAATGTTTTTCCTGTTGACAACTTTGGTTCTGTTTTGTTTGTCTAATAGGCTCTTTATTAGATCTGAGTGCAAAATGATCATATATATTCTAGATATATCTATATATATATATATAATATATATATATTGTGTGTACATAAAATAAAGTTTGATGCTGTCAAGTTTGTTGTTTTTTTTAACCACTCTTGTACTTTTGGGTGCACTGCGTACGCCCGAAAAAAACCTCATCGAACTACACATCTATAGCATACCCTTTCATTCTCCCCCTGATGCTAACTCCCCCCCCTTTCCCCCACACACTTTACAGGCAATTCCTTGCTGACAACATGAGAGCCAGAACTTGCTTAGTAAATGCAGCAGCTGCCTGTAGCCACTATTGTCCAATACAAAGCTTTTAAATAGTTTGACCCCTTGATCTGCATATAATATCCATTAAAGCAAAAACATTAATTTAAATCCATAGGTTTAAATGAAAGAGAAAAAGAGTGTTTAGGTTTTTTTAACATGTTTTTTGCTGTAGTTTGCAAAACAAAATACAATTATTTTTACAAGACATAATCACCAAAAAAGAAAGCTTTGTTTGTCCTGAAAAAAACACAAGAAATAATGGTAGGTGCTTTGCTCCATGGCTGGCAGGATTTGGTAGCGAGAAGAGATGGTAGGTGTTGTGCTCCATGGTTGACCGGACTGGGCAGAAAGACGTGATAGTGGGTGCTGTGTTTAATGACAGCACTGGCAAAACTACCAGGGTGCCAGCGGTCGCATGTACCACAGGGCCCTGATGGTCTGCCACTTGGGGGGGCCTGGAAAGGAAGAAGTGGGCCTAGCCCCAGTAACCAGGGGGGGGTGGGGGCCTTCATGATTTCTTGCACTGGTACCCTGAGGTTTCTAGTTATGTTTCTGGTAAATAGGATACAGTTGTGAGAGCTTACAGGTTAATATACCTTTCCTTTGTCATGTTCTGAATAATTCAGAGAGAATGCTATGTTAAACCACCCAGTGACTACAGCTAGGTATTTAATAATGAAGACATGTGTGAACTACAAACATACCACATAATAAATAGATGGGAAAAAACGGACATTCCTCTTTTTGCTTTGTTTTCAAAACAGTTTAAACTAAACAAACTGAATACCTGCCTTGCCCTTTTGCAATATTAATTTTTTTTTCTTGCAAGAAGTTTGTGGCAGGCTTTTGTGGATTTAGGCTCCATTCACATATAGCGTTTGCGTTTCCTGCTGGTTTTCCGTGCGGAAGACCGTGCAGGACGAAAACGCTAATATTTTTCATTTGCGCGGATGCCGCTCGTTTACGGCTATCAGCCAAGAACGTGTGGAATCCGCCACATTATCGCACCTGTACTGTTTCAGGGGCCCCGCAATAGTCTGAATGAATGATGCACACTAAAGTGCATTGTATTCTTTGTTTTAGAGCGGTTCCGCGCGTATAGGTCCAGCAAAATACGCAAGGACAGCCGCTCAGGTATGAATGGAGCCCCACGCTAACCAGGAGAAGACACCATTCCTGTGATTTCAACTGCACTCTTTTATTACAGGTATTTATATAGTGTCGACAATTTACACAGCGCTTTACATAGTTGCACATTCACATCGGTCTCTACCCTCAAGAAGCTTACAATCTGAGTTAAACAATACTTGTGAATGAAAATTCATTGCAGAAAAGTGACATTAAATGCTCACTTTTTTTTCTTTTTAACTTTTGACAGTCCACGGATCCGGTCCCTTGGCAGAGACCGGACCTGGCAGAGCAGAAAAGGGGTGGGGGGAATCATACCCCCCCAGCAACATACCAGGCCACATGCCCTCAACATGGGGAGGGTGCTTTGCCAGGGGGAACCCCTTGGTAAAGCACATTGTCCCCATGTCTGAGGACAAGGGCGTCCTCCCCACAACCCTGGCCCACTGGTTGTGGGGGTCTGTGGGCAGGGGGGCTTATAGGAATCTGGTTGCTCCCTTTCATAAAGGTGGCACCCAGATGCCGTCCACCCTCGTGAATGAGTAAGGAGTAGTTGCTACCCCTACTCATTCACCAAATAAACACTAAAATAGTAAATAAACACACAACACACTAAAAAAAAGTCCTTTGTTTGAAGGGGGAAAAAAAAATAAAACTTGACAAGTCTTTTATTGAAAAAAAAAAATGTCCAGCAATGCAGATCCACGTCAATCATGATGGATGACAGTTGGCAACTCACCGACAGAAAAAAAGTCCCGACACATCCAATCCTGATGAACAACGGACACAAAATGAAAACTCTGCTCCTGAATGTCAACAAAGGGGTAGAGAAAGTACTGGCCATTTGTTCACATTCCATTAGGGGACCGAGAGCTGTAATAAAATGCAAACAAATGGGTGGAACAAGTACCGTGATGTCATGACTCACTCTGTGAGAATGTCCACTTTTTGTGGACATTCGGAAGCAGAGCTATCATTTTGTGGCCAGGGTTCATCATGATCTAATGTGTCAGCGGGTGTGGGGAATTTTTTTATGTCGGTGGACGTGGTCCATTGTGATTGACGAAGATCTACATGGCTCAACAACGTGATTAACTTGTGACTTACATCAATGGACTTTTTTGAGGTTTTTTTTTTTCTTCAAATAAAGGACTTTGTACAGTGTTGTGTGTTTATTTACTATTTTACTGTCATTTGGTGAATGAGTAGGGGTAAAAACTACCCCTTACTCATTTGCGAGGGGGATGGCAGCATCTGGGTGAAAGGGGGCATCCATATTCCTATAGGCCCCCAACCACCAGGCCAGGCTTGTGGGGAAGAGGCCCTTGTCTTCATGGACATGGGGACAAGGTGCTTTGCCAGGGCCCCCCAGCAAAGCACCTGCCCCATGTTGAGGGCATGTGACCTGGTATTGTGCAGGAGGAGGTGCCACATGCTCTTCCTTCCCCTTTCCTGCTCTGCCAGGCTGCTGCTCAAATCAAGGGTCTGGAAAAGGATTTTAGAGGGGACACCACACTTTTTTTTTTGCTGTTGGGGTCCCTCCTACAATTACTGTGAGACCTAAGGGGTCTGGTATAAATTGGAGAGGGGATTCTATGCTGTTTTTTATTTTTACGTTTAACAACATAAAGTAATTCAAAATGCATTCGAAATTTTAATTATACATTCGGATAAGTTCAGATTCGTTATTTCTTTCATTCGGTAAATTGGAGGCTTCCGAATGTCCGAATATGCAGATATTCAGCTGAATTTCAATTTGGGAACAAATGAATTGCACATGTCTTGTATTGATGGCTAATAAAATGTCAGAGGATAGTTCATTCTATTGTTTGCGGTTACAGAAGCCTGATACGTTGCAAGACCTG